TCAACCGGTTTAGTACACACTTACACTCCAACACAAATCCACTTTGGCCCACTGAGGTTGAGTTAACGAGTTGAGTTTGGTTTGAGTCCGGCTTACTTCCTTCTGTGTGCGCAAATACCGACAACTTCGAACACGTTAATCGCCGTGTAGTGGATTTGTTCGCGACGTGAAAAAAAGCGCCTTGTTGCTTCCAGGCAAGCCCGACTTGCGGCACTTCTCACGGCTTCGACCAGGCATAAGCTGTTGTGTTTAGAAGTTGATTGCATTCGGGGTGACTCGTCAACTAGCCAGAACACCACAAATGTACTGACAGTCGCAGAAAAAGCTATCTTTCTCATTTGGAACTATCACTTCGGGGAAAAGGTGTACAATGTGATGAGTAGTCGGTAAATACCACATCCGGTGGCGGAGGTGAGGTTGTACTGCCCAAAAACGCCATAATTGGTGAATTTAACGAACGGTGAGTCACAGAGGCGACAGTGTCACGACGCGTTTCCGCTGGATAACTTCGCTTCATTGTGTTCGTCTTCCCGCCCCTGCGCTCTTCTGCCCCGGACTTCCGTCAACGCCCTTTTCCCTGCAAACATGTTTCCGTGAGGCGGGCGCACGTGCGTGCCTGGCCATTGTTCTAGCTGCCTCGCATTCATTACCGTCAGCCGCCACCGTCAGAGAGATAAAACACGGACGTGCGCACCACGTGCGGAGAACAGACGTGCCCATCAATGCAAGGACGTGACGCCACGACGTGCAGACAAGAAAGGGCACGGGAGAAGGTGGTGTCATCATCGACGTGAAGGCGGCACTGCCGTCGCCACTTGCCGCAGCACAGTCAGTTTTAATTTCTTGTCGAGTGCGTTTGCGGTAGGGTGGGGCAGGTGAGCACACGCCTTATTTTGCTTCTACTTTTTCGGGCCTGCAGACGAGCGCCTTTGTGTGTGTTTGTGTGTGTGCAATACCGCGCTTAGGCGACACGCTGATTCCTGTCGCCGTTGGAGATGGAAATCCCTCGTTGAATCATCGACCACCTCGGTGTCCACCACAACACTGTGACTAGGAGTGCAAAAAATACACGTTTTTCGCCCGATTAAAGGGTTGGGGCAGTGAAAGCCGGTCTGGCGAATGATGGTCAGACATGTCATGCAGTCCTGAGCTCTCCACATCAGCCGAGACAGCTTCACGTTTGACTTTTACGACGAGGAAGGTACACACACACACATGAGACGCCTGACTCAATGATTATACTCAATTTACGGCGCATTGGGTGGGGCAACTCGACAGAACTTTCTGCTTAAGTGGAAGATGGCACCGCACACAAGGGGGATTCACTGTTGCCAATCATTTTCACTTAAGTCAAAATGAAGTTTGTTGGGTTCAAATTTCTTTAAAAAAAAGGACAAATTTTTGCCCGAGTTTAGGCCACACCTGAGCTCAACCAGGAGTTGCCATGGTTGTGAATTTAAACAAATTGGGGACGCTGAGTGTACGGGAAAAGGGTGAGAGTTTAGTGGTAGCCAGGTGAAATGGCAGAGTGTAGGTCTCAAGTAACCCACTGACACTCGCACTACCTCCAATGAGGCCAGCCTCCAGCAATTAACTCAGCGGAAATAATCGATGCCGCCTACATTAGAAGCGTTTGCAATGTGAAAAGCGAGCGACTCAAGGCAGTTGGTAATCGTCACGAAATCGGCAAATTGATACATTCGTATATAATTAAAATTAACTCAAGAAACTCGAGCTATGTGTCAGAAGGCGATGAAGCACTGTTGGGAAATAAATATATCATGAAGAAATGTCCTTTGAATACTCATTTTTCACTACAAGAAGCGAGTTCGGTAGAGAAGGTACTTGGTACTCAAAGCTGAATCTAAACGCAACAACATGCGTTAACCTGGCACAAGATGCGCCGATCTGACGTGTCGTCAGTGCGATGTGAAATGCGACAAATGGCTGGAATCGTTCGACTGGAGGCAAGTCATCCACGTCACCAGGAGGTGGACATGAGATGGTGGCGGCAGTTAGCAGGAATGCCGTGCGGGGTCGTGGAAATAGCGCTTTGCTCAAGCTGCCCCACCATCCCACACCGCGACGACATGGAAGTGCAATTCCACTAGTCACACATCTCCGAGAGACAAATTCGTGGTGCCGGTGTTGGATGGCGTACTGACTTGAAGTGGTGACCCAGCATGGGTGGTTCCACAAACTGGTGATTTCATCATCGTGCGTGTGTGCGGATTTATCACACATGGGCTCTCATGGCTCGAAATTGGTGTTTGCTAAAAATACACACGCACACTCACACAACCACGCAGACCTTCTGTGTCTATCTTTCAATGACACTTCAGTTGTTTGAATGAGTGGAAAGGAAGCAGGCGGGAAGTAGTGAATCGAGGGGAACTTGACGCGCGGCGATGTGTTGTGTGTGTGTGTGTGCTAGATTATCGTGGATCAGGCGATGGGCGTTGACTGCTTCAATTCAAAGATGTAACGTTGCGAGTGGTACTATCTTGTTCTACAGCCCATCGTGATTGGATATAGAGGAGGGGAGGGAGGGATGGGGGAAGACACTCTCCTTGTTAATCTGGATGTCAGTTATACTAGATGCCCGTTTATTTGGACTTATCCCTTTTCACTAAATGTTTGGTGCTGTGCTTAGACAGTGGACATGTGAGTTGATTCACCCTCAACTCGCCTTCTCTACAAACAAAAAGTGTCTTTTGCATGGGACATCGTTATGGCCGGTGCTTAGGTGGGACGTCAGGTGCTATTGTCTGAGGTAAAGTCAACCTAACTGATAGTAGATGACCTCAATTTAACCAAACACAATGTCTCTACCCTCAAAACGTCACACTTGAAACATTTAACCAATTCTATGCTCTCTTAGTTACCATTAAAACAAATAGATGTCACACGAGGGAGAATGTTCAAGAACCAATAGTAATTCTACCTCATTTCAATCACAGATTTGAAACTGAAATCAATGATTAACTCACGTCGTCGATTTCCGAGATTTCCGGTGATCCGTAGTGGTAGGGTCGGTTGTTCTGGACGGAAGTCGGCTCTGGTGAAAGGCAGGCGTTAAGCCCAAAGTTGACCGACGGCGGTACCGAAAGGGGAGCCTTAAATGCGCCCAAAAATGCCGACGAGGGTGGCGTGGCGAAGCCCTCCGAGGCCGACTTGTGCGTTGACCCCAGTCGAGAGGATTTGGGCTCAGCCACTGCCTGGCTGTCTGGTGGGTGGTTGAAGAGACGCTTAGGGGGAAAGGGGGGCTTGTCGGTGGCCTTTTGGTCCGTGCGGTAGTCGGAGGGAACAGAGTTGACCGAGGGAGTCACAGCAGGTGGTATCAGCATCATCTGGGCTAGTGACATATCCTCTTGTCCTCCCGCGGAACGTCTCGGACGCCTATTTTATCTATATATATGTATGTGTGTGTGTGTCGCTATGCGAGTTTCGTAGTAAGCGGCGGTTTGACTTGCTGCGGAACGCAGGCGTGGGTGAGTCAAGTGCGGACGTGGGATTACACGCGCACCCCCTACACGTGCGCGTCCGCAGATTATCTGTTTAGCCCTCGTGCGGTTCGACTCTCACCCGTGGTGTGTGCGTGTGTGTGCGTATGTGTGTACTCAGGCCCTTGCTCGCGCACACGCACCTCGCTGTCATGACAACGCCAAGGCTGCCTTCTGCCGATTGGTTGTCGGTCGAGTGAAGTAACCACTGATTAGTTGAGCGCTATCGCCATCGCGCGATAATACGTCACCCTTGGTGTCAAAGGTTCCGTTATGTGGGCCACCAAGGGGATGTAGGATTGCGCACGACAGTCTCTCCTGAATGGTTGGGTCATTTCAGGATAAAAAATACTGGATTCCAACTATCCAACAGGCTTCTCAACAAGTTTTCTGCGGTTCTGTTAATCTTGTTCTTGGAGTATGCAACATCAGTGGTAATGCTGCCAACATCTTTTAGTTAGTATCGATTATTCACAGCCCAACACAAGTATGAGGAAAAGCAGAATTCATGGTTCACTCTAATAATTCAGATGTGCTAAAACTTTCCCCATTCAAGACAGATTTAAAACGAATGGAACACCTTTCAACTCAAAAACTGCAGGAGACTAATCGGCACCATAAATAATAATGCTTGTTTGCAAACAAGTAATTTGTCTACCTTATTGTAAATCGATTAACCAGTACACTTCACTGTCATCCCAAGCAACCACATCCATGAAATCTCTTCCTACGTATCTCACCACAACAAATGGTTTAATCAACCAATAGAAACACCACCTTCACTTGTGGTTGGTTCGATTTCATTGATTAGTCTATTTGATCGATTTGAGTTCGCGTCCCGCATCGCCACCTCACAATTGTCATCCTTTAACGCACCTGAAGAGATTCCACGTCTTAAACCACGGTTTCTACGATAATGAATACGATTTGATTCGCCGTAGACAAAAAAATTAATTCGTCTCAATTACATGAAAATGCAATCTCATGATTTGGCAGATTTCCCCTTCAAATTTGGTGGAGCTGAATATTTGGGCTTAGTATAAACTGATGAATGGAGAGCAACCGCTATGGGAACGCGATGAACCAGCGCAAATACCACGGAAAGCTGAAGCGCATAAACAAAACTGCCCTTTTATCGATCTAGTGGGATGGCGCGCATCTGAGTTGCCTTCACCAAGGGATCGGACGATCGAATATTCCTGTTTATTTTCAAAAACCAATGAAACCGATTGAACCAATCAAATTATGGCTGCCACACCACTGGCTAGTATCTGACCTTGAACGACTAGATTGACACTTAATCTAAAGACTAAAAAATTTGATGAACGCTAACTTTTTCACAAATCTGGTTTAGCTATTTATTGATAAAGACCACAGACCTACGCTGGCTGATTTATTTGTGTGGTGAGGACATGGTGATGAAGAGGGTCGTGGTAAGGAGTCATTTTACAAAGGAACGCTTAATATCGATCGCTGAACGAACATCTCGATGTTCGTGCACTCACGATTATCGATTGAATTAGCGTTCGCTCACGCTGTCTGGCGCGTGTTTATCTGACAGCATGAAACAAATCGTCATTGGATAGAGCTTAGACAACAAAATCGATTTGCACAATTTTTGAGTAACTCAATCGTCTACCTATTTCAGGACAACGATCTGTCACCACTGTGAATTTCAGTGACGAAGAGAAGATTTCGTACGAAAATCTACCTGATAAATAACCGCCGCTTGAACGCGCCTGATTCGATCATTCAGAACAGAAGTATCAAGGATAACATCTAGCTCTTCTTCCAAGCTGAACAAAACCCTTGAAGAACCGTGTAGAAAGGGAATTGCGGACTCGTGTCAGCTGTAAATTGAGTGGCTGGACATTTAATGTCGGCGCGACTGTCGTCTGTGTAATTAATACCAAAGCAATAAAACAATAAAATTGAATTAACCTGTAGCCGATTTAATGTCAGCTCATCAAAATACTCCGCAGGATTGCTTAAACAAAAAAAAACATCAACATTCTAGCTGCTAAGTTGATGTTTCCGAATTCCTTTCTACGGCTTGTTAGCCAATCAAGAAGAAGGATAGGGGAAACAGCATCTTCATGTTTTTAAAGGAAAATTATCCACCAACGCAAATCACGACGTAACCGTTTGTTTGTTCGTTGAAGTGTTTTGGTAGAGACGCCTGGTTTACTGATTCCAAGTCTTGTAAAAGCACAAAATCGGAGGAAAAAGCAATTATAGTAAGGTTTCTGGCACTCTTCAGGCTGAAAGCTTAAAAAAGGTGAGGAGTGTGGGCAGAGGTTTATCGGGCTGCCTTTACGATAGAAAATGGACTCGTCACCCTCAATATCGGGGAGTAGTGTACTGACGTTTTTCCTCCAAGCAATCTTGAAATGTAAGGGCTACTTAAACAAATTAAGTAAATACTTAGACTAGGGATTGGTAAATCTCATCTCACCGCCAAATCAATTCTGTCCTAGTACTTAGCTGGATTTCGAGCACGTTCGAGGAGCGTGTATAACCATTTCCAAGCACCAGCAGTATCATCCTAGTACGGGCACGGCCTCGCGGAGAGAGAGAACTATTTTTGGTTCCGCAAAAGGTCGGGTTAATTCGGTCAATTGCATTTACTAATGATCATTTCTCCATTCAGAGAGCTCTCAGCGATTCTGTACCAATGAGATGAGTTCGTGACAGAATACAGAAAGTGTAATTTCGTAGAATTAGCTGTCACGTTAGTTTGAGAGCTCTTAAAGGCGATGCGAAGTTGTTTACTGACAACAATGTCGGCGTCAACGACATTGAACCGAAAATGAACCGTGTTATTAGCTGGTAGACGTGACCCAACATACCACTGACTTCGGCAAACTGAAACTTACTTCCCATCGGCTGAACCTTGCTTAGACCGATTTGGTGTGGAGCAACACTCGCTGGGTGATTGAAATTCAAGTGACCTTCCACCTAGCTACTGGTCCAGTAAAACATTAAGGGGTCAATCTATCTGACCTCATGGTGTGTGCGCCTGTTATGACCCTTCGCTTGGTGAATTTGACTTCGTCTTGAATTGTCATCTAGCAAAATGCCTTCATCTCGAGACTCAGCAACGTGATTGGCTGCATAAGTTGGTGCAGAGCCTTTTGTGTGAATATAATCCTAGACTATATGCCTCTCCAATCCACAGATCTCGTATTCATGATGTGGTTGTTTAACTTTATCACGTTCTGGCCAATTACTTTTACGGACGCAGAGAAGTTTATCTGCGAGAAATTTTTATTGGCCATGGCTGATGTAATTTGACGACGTAGTTGCACACCCATTTAACGCGGTGCCACTCAAAAAATGGTTTTGAAGAATTTCTACAAAATATAGTGACATCTCCATTTTGATATTTGATAGTTGTCACCTTCGGTTTAAGCTAGAGGTCATGAAATGTCAAGATTTGGTGATAAGTCGTGGCTTTGAGTCTTGACTGGTTAACAGGACAAAAGAGACCAGAATTGGTGTAAATAATTTTGTTCTTGAAATTTTTGCACGCATTTTAACATCCTCGTTCTGGCTAACCCATCAAAGTTGATCTAGACAGCGAAACGGATATTTTTCAAGTTTGATTTTACCGCGATAGAACAACCAATCAAAATCCGCCAACGGTAAAATGCTAAAGAAACCCTATTGGGGAGGAGGACGGTAAAGAAGTCAACTCCTATTAGTCAGTCAGGTCAAGGTCGCACAGGGTGTGAGATGGGTACTCGCGTAAGACAAGATATCTGCGCAATGGTAATTTGGGCTAGAATTGGCACTTTGGCTAGAATTGGCAAATCACGTCGCAACACGTGGAGAACACCTGTAACTTGGTTTGGAAGTGATCTCGTATTCCCGTGGAATATGCACCACACGACTACCGCTTATTTCGAGGTCTGCGCAATCGAAAATGCTGTCTGTCCATGCCATTACACCTACTTCGAAGTGGTCCCAACTACATTTAAATTCATGGAAATTTGTTAGGGCGAAGATGGAATCCAACTTCGAGGCAACCTGTTCGCGAGTAGATGGAATTTAACTCCGTGACAGCACGTCCTGGAGCCGACGGAATTCAATTCCCTAGGAACCTGTCAAGATGCTGATGGAATTTAACTTCGTGGAAACCTGTTAGAGTGTAGATGGAATCCACCAGCACTGACATAATTTTGACAAACCAGTCCTGTCTTCTGCATTGTCGATGCTCCAAACGAACAATTAGTCAAGCTATAGCAGTTACATCACCAGATTAGAGGTGTCGCAAAATTACCCAATCAGTTGCTAGATCAGGCGTCAGTCATCACTATGGCGACAAGAAAACGGTATTTTAAACAAAGCATTTTCCTTGATGGCCGGTGGAGGATGGGAATAGTAAATCACCCGAGGACTGGGTTAAGTCGTAGCGGTGACGCGTGTAATCACTTCTTGTGCGCCTTTGAGGCGTTGAGTCACAAAGACCACGTGACTACATGCGTGTGGGCTTCACTGCTATGATCACCTTAGTGCACTAGTTTGGTTGTAGACATTAATTTTTTTCTGACTTGGGGTTTTCCGAGGTTTCGTTGGTTGTTGAATGCTCGCATCTATTCCTCAGCGCGGTTGATCCTCAAAATTCGAGCCGAGACAGCACCTACACACTTGGCAATGTTTAAGAACTACCAGATACCTAAAATCGATCTGTTAAGGATACCAAGGAATACTAATTGACGACAGCACTTGTCCATTCAACTGAAATTTGCCATCTTTGGAAATTTGCCCTGACAAGAAAGGGAACCCCCAAGTACACTCAAATCACGACGGTATTCTTAAATACAATGCCAACGGGTCTATGACTCATGGTTTCGTATCGATTTTATCATTCCGTAGTTTTGCCTCTTACGTAAGATTCCTTCTACACATTTAGAGACAGTTAAATTAGAGAATTTAAAATCAAATTTAGTCTTAACAAATGTCATAATGGTGTACTATATGGTTTTCCTTCTTATTTAAATGGTGCATCTGGAAACGGGTCAACGAATTTGTCTCAAATTCGACTAGGATATAAGCGAAACCAATTGGACAGCGGATTTATTGAAATTTCTAGTTTCAATTTGACAATCAATCAGAGTTATGTCAATGCTTCATTCTCAGTTGTCTGAAAATTTTTCTGTTCAAGTTTAGGGGAGCTACACCCCTTTGACCGAGTACAGTGTGACGTGTGCAAGGGGAATTCTGACTGGCCACGGCAAGGTCGATATTCACGGCGTGCTCAGATTGGCTGGTGGGGGCACAGAGTGTGTCACTTGAATCGCGATTGGTCTATCCATATCGGACAGACGTGCAGTCCAATTGGGTGAACGTGGATACATTTAGCGGAGTTTCATTGTGACAATAGACTTTTTTGCCAACAGTGCTAACTGTAGACACATTTACTAGCTTTCGATGAAGGCGCTAACAAGCCAGGTGTGTAAATGTGGAGATTAGACTTCGAAACTGGTGATGACACGCACGATAGTTACGGTTTATTCGATGCACGCTGGATTATCCAATCTCAAATTATCGTCTTCATGTATCTCTTACAAATCTAGATGTCGCCCTGATCAGTACTAGTTAGGCAATCCATCCGGCTCCAATCATTTCGCAGGAAATACACGCACAAAACGCTGAAAATTTACTGTAAACTATATTGGTGCAAGGCAGGAGATCCGTTTCGCGTTTTTTGCTTATGAAATTTCTTGAAGTTGAGTGAGCGCCACTGCTTGAGAGAATGAATAAGCCTCGTCCATTGACAGTAGAACCCGCGAAGTTGACCGCGCACAAATTTGATTTTTTAAACGCACTCACCTGTCTTTAGCAAAATTAGACAGGAAAAATAATTACTGCACGGAATTTGGTGGATGGGGCCAGCCGTGTTTGGTAGGGAAGATTTCAACCTAGTAGAATGTCTGTCTGCCCACCATTTATGAAAAAAATGTGCAAAATCAAGGAGATAGGGTTTGTGGATCAGACGTTCAGTGTTCGCTAAGCCCTGGCGCATTTTTCTGAGTAAATGAACACTAAAAGGTGGACATTGGAGGCCCACTCACCGTGCATTGCAGGGTACTACGAAATAGAGCACTACAATATCTAAGTGCATCGCAAAAGGTGTTATGCCTGGCTGAAGCATCTGCCTGTTGACTTATCGCATCAATAATTAGGAACCAGCCAGTTTGACAGTCTACTAACCAACCTCACCACGCACGTTAAACCAATTCCTGAACTGTGTTACCAAGGCTCAAGGCAAGCCGATGGTGCCACACTACTACCCGGGAAAAATCTGAATAAGTGACAAGCTAATCATCACTAGATTATCTCTTCAACGCCAAGGCGATGCACATTTCGCAGCAGACGCGGACGCTGTGAGATTAGAGCTCTCGTTTGAACGCAGCCTCCGCACGACTTGAGGAGAAACTACCGAACATAACTCCGCTACAGAATCTCCTGACCCGAGCAAGGTACGAGTACTCCGCTTCTGTTTTTAAAAAATGAAGAAGACACTTTACCATCAAGAGAGGTGTGGCAGCGATTTTTCAACAGCACAATTTGAGCATCTGCGATTTCACCAAACGTCAGTTTGTAACAAAAATCAACAGGTATGGACTTAAAAAATTTAATTGTACAGTTACCTGAATCGTCAATGATACAAGGGAACGTTCACACGTAAAAAAACGACTGCTCACGTGTAAATGTGAACAGGAAAAAGATAGCAGAATCGAACGAACACGAAAATAACTAAGCAATAAACTACTTTGTGGGAGTCTGGGTAAATACGATAGACGAATGCTTTTTTAAGGGATAAGCTATTTATGGTTCGGTGGCTAGGACTGTAAAACTGTAAGACGGACAAGGCGCATTTAATGGGGGCGAATTGACACGGCGGCTACGGCCGACTCCGATTGGTTACGGAAACGACTCTGTCCACTCCCGGCGGAGGAATTCAGACGAGGAGCAGACATCATTTGGACAAGGTGTTCAATTATCAACTCAACGCCCACTCGATTGTCCGGCGCACGTGGGAGAATTACGTCAGCATATTTTTTTGTCTGAAATAAGTCAGTAACGTTACTTCTTGGCAATTAGATATCAACGAACAGTCAGGGAAAGTAACAATCATTAAATAGACAAAAATGACCAATGACAATAATCATCCACGCCATTGTTCGTTTCTGAAAACTTAAAAGGATTTTGAAACGCAATTACAAGAAAAAACAACTAGTTGTGCGTGATATCATAGACAGATAACCCATATTTTATACAAGCATATAGAACTTTTACTAATTGACGTACCGGTAGACAAAATTCTTCAAATGCAGGCTTTACGAATTTGAAGTAATTTTCCAAAACGGTGTTCAAATTTCGCTTTCTCTCAAGCACATCACGTAGAACTAAAAGGCTACTCGGAAGAAACCAAATGTACCTTTGCGAGACAACCGCGTGTCGGCATCAGCTTCAATAAAGATTTTCATGTGGAACATATCTCGAATGTCCTTTTGGTAGAATGTGAGGATTCCCTCAACAATTACAACATCAATTCCTGGAGGAATTTCAAGCTTTTGTGGGGTGCTACAGGACAAAAAAACCAAGCGAGAACCTTACTTTGAAAATGCAGTCGGATCATAACAATTCAGAACCACAGGCTCCCCTTTAAGTATCTTTTTTAAAGCTTCGGAGAGTGCTTCAAAATCAAATGCTCCTAAAAAGTTAAAATTAGAAAGACGATTGACACACTTGGGTGATCAAGATCAAGTTTTCCTAATTCAGCAAGTTTAATGTCTTCCTCTGATAACGGGTAATAGAAAGATGACAGTGATAAAACTATAGACTGCTTTCCTTTGGATTTTTTAAGCAGCGCTTCGGAGACACGACGACAGGCTTCAGACTTTACAATAAAGGTAATGCCAAAAAATTACCTTCCCCGACGCTGCACCGCCGCTTACACCAATTAGAAATGGTTTCTGTGGTGCAGAATTAACCATTACGAAAGACAACGAGATAAAACACCGTTATTCGACAAGTTGGGTGTTTAAAATATTCATTAAAACAAATGATGGCACTTGGAATGATTTTTACGCGTGAATCTTATACCTGTTATTTCAATTTTAAAAACGAATGCAAAAATCATTAATAACACTTGTTCAAAATTTAAATAGATAGGAGTTCTTTAGTGACAACTTCAGTCTTTTCACAAAGATTCATCAAAAAATGCTATATCTAATCTGTAATAGGCACAAAAGAGTGACACCTAATTTACCTTTACATTTGCAGCCTTTTAGATCCTAAGTTTTGCGTTAATTCTACGATTTGTGTTTAGACCTATTTAGGCGTTTTTCTCGTTTGCTTCATAATGCAACCAGACCATATCTGTTAATTGGGTGGCCATTTTATTGGATGTAAACAAAACAAATTTAGTAAAACACATAAAACAATCATTAAAAAACGGTTAAAGCATAAAATTAAAAAAATATTACACTTGAGAATTTTGCCCAAATTTTTATCAGAGTAAAAACCTTTAATTGTAGCCAGCCATCATATTTTTTTATCTTGAAAAGGAATAGTATTTAAACCACTTTTGTCTTTAAAAAGGCCGATACAGTATTTTTTTCGGCTTCGAGATCGGTAAACGTTTGTATAATACATGTGATTTATTTGAAAACCAATTTATACTCTCTCTGGCATTTACCCGGATCAGCAAACCATGCATCAAGATTTATCCTTGACAACCCCTTTATAAATTTTTACTTTTTCAGACATTCTCAATTATCAGAAAAACTAATCTTCCCCTCACAATAACACTTCGCCGTCGCATACAATAATCGTCTTCTCAAAAATGTTTCGTTTGCCCATTGACTCAATCTGTGGTTCATCGCCTGCATTTCAGCTGTACCTCCATATCATTATCTGAAAAAATTTCTTTTATATTGTATGGCTATTACAACTCAGGCCTTGCAAATTCATCGCCATTTCGTATCATATAAGGTCACTGCATTTTTGGTCAAGCCTAATCTTTAATTGCTACTTAGAAAAGATTTGCAATATTTTCTTAGACTCTTGACATTTCGTATATTCTGTTCAAAATAGGTATGATGAATGCAAGAATAAATGCAATAAGTTGTTAGTGGTCAAAGTTATTGTTAGAAATCCCAATTTGTGTTAGTTATTATGTTGTTCGGAGAATCCTACGAATTGTGTGTGTTATGAAAGGTTCAGTAATTCAAAATCGCCATAAAAGTCGGAAGCATAAGAAACCCATGGCAAAAATCACAACTCTTTTGATATATTCATATTCAGTTACACAAAACTTCAAACTCAAAAATGAGTCAATTTAGTGTGGAGAAGCAGCATTTTTTTCCAAAGAATGCAAAATGTCTGATTTCCTAAATAAGCCAGTATTTGTCGCTAAAGAAATTAAATTTACGTCAAAAAAGCCGAAAATTGCTCAAGATTCTGAGGTTTACTTCACTGAAGTAATCGTGCAGATGCTCATTCATTTGACATTAAAACTGAATAAAAGATAGCAATAAACAAAAATTTTCATTCGAATAATTTTTAAATAAGAATAAAGCAATTACTGGTAGGAAATATTTTTTTCAAATAATGAGGCCATTGAGTTAGCTGCCATAAAAAATGTACAAAACACAATATTTTACATTTTTTCAGTTACCGAAATCCCTACCAAATATAGGCTTTACATGTAATGAGTCGAAAAAATTTCACATAATTTCTTTTTTTTCGAAACTAAATAGCTTGGCAGTGATTTATTTAAGATCCTTTTATGATCATTCTACGAAAAATTAAAAAATAGATCCTCAATATTATTAAAAGTAGAATGTTGACTTTGATAAAAATTAAGAAAGGCTTTTAAGTCGTCAAAAAAGGTTTGAATAAAAAAAGCTTTTTGCGAATTTTTTTGACTAGGATTGCAAAAAGGCTAAATTGTGACTATAATGCGTTCGTTAATCACGCGAAATTTTTTTTGGTAGATAAAATTAAGGTTTTTTTACCCATTTAATATTCACACACTAAATTGAAATATGATAGTTAGTGTATTTTGCTACACTCATGTTTGAAATATAAGGATATGCAACAGATATTAGTCTGTCAAATTGGGAAAAAAAACACATTTTAGTAAATTTAAAAATTTTTGTCAAGTTCTTTGTGTAGATTTTGATATGGTATTGTTATACAATCATTAAAACAGTGTCTGACCTAAAATTGTTTAAAATCTTTGAAAATTTAACCTGTCACTATTTGGGTCATCACTTCCTAATTTGAATTGTCCTTGACTTGAGAGAAATGAAGGAATGCGCAGCTTGCGGGAAAACTGTCTATCCCATCGAGGAAATTAGAGGTCTTGACAAGGTATTTAAAACATGTTTTACCTAGACTGTCTTAGGCAATAAATAGTTTGAGAACTTTCGATTTCGGTATTATCCATTAGAAAAAATTTTTAATTTTTTGCATTTGAAAACACAATGTTTTAACTGCAAATGCCCTTTCTATATATAGTTATGTTGCATTTTAACTCATTACAGTAATCTATGCAACTAGCATCCTTCTCGTTTTGTATGTAAATGAAATATGTTTGTCTCCATCACCTTATAATTATGTACTCGAATATGGTCATAAAATAGTTTTTCGGTTATTTTAAGTATGTTTTTTCTTAAAAACGTACTCTGTTATTTTACGTCTTAGCATAGTAATTTTACTTTACTGCTTCTTTAATTTCACAAGAGCTTCGGAATAAATTTGATTTTACGTGCCATTAACTACCTTCATGACTAGCATCCATTATGGAATATCGGTTTTTGTTTTTCCTAACGCGATTTTTTTAAAAGGTCTTCAATTTTAACAGACACACTTGACGTTATCGAAATAACAGTAAATAACAATAACGATTAGGTCCATTCGAAATATTTGATTCTATTATTAATTTAGCCATTTTTACCGTATTTATGATTTTATAAATGCATCAACCTTTTTATAACCATGTTAAAGTTCAATTGGTGAAATCATATTAGCTTAATAAACGGGTACAACGAGGACGGTGAAGCTGAATTTCACTTATCACTTTTCACTTGGGTTCATTGGCTCTTTCCAATACAAGAGACGCATCCGAGCAAGTGTTGTTCGCTTTCGAAAACGCTATTTATAACACAATTATAAAATTCATAATCAATTTTTTCATGATTGAAAGCAAACAAGGTTTACTGGATAATGTATCCTTAAATTATTTGTCCAGGAATAAATGTTTTTACTGTACATTACTATTTACGTGATGTTGTTCTAAATTCTTAAATAACAAATATAACATTTTTAATTAGAGAAATTCAAAAAAAATTGCCTAATGGTAACCAGAAAATAATGTCTAGCTACTAAGCACGTTAAATAAGCAATCTTTTCAAATTTTCAGGTTTGGCACAAAAGCTGTTTCCGATGTCAGACCTGCAATAAGATCTTGGGAATTCACAACTTTAAAGGTTACGGTGGATTACCTTATTGTCCCGTGTAAGAGCAGTTTGTTAGCACTTTCAACAATTCTTTATGCTATCAGTTCACATTTTTTTTCCTGTAATTGAAAGCAGTTTGACTCAATGGTAACGTTTTGTGATCTAAAACACGCATTAAAACCGTACAGGATTTCCAGCAAATTTAGCTACTACATAAACTTCAAAACAACGAAATGAATCTTAAGGATATTGTTCATCCTTTTTTCATGATCTTGTGCCATCTCTCAGTTGCCGTACGAAGGCAGCTGTGAAAGACATTTGCAGGCTACGTCAAGGCAGTAAAGTCGTCATAGACGAACTTACACACATCGTCCAGCCTTCTGAACGTAGTAACCAATAAGGCGTGGTGCAGCTGCGTTGACCAGAACAAATATGAGTCGGAAGGGGGGCCACGTCTGGTTAATATGCCGCGTGTGGCAGAACTTCCCATTCCAATTTCAAGAGAGTCTTGTAAGTCGCAGGAGTTTGTAAAAAAGTGTACCCCTCATGTCCCACAACCAGATGCACAGGAGAACCATCTTTAAGTTGATGTTCTGTTTCGGCGTCGTTGTACCAGGTTGCTGCCTAGCATCAACACTCAACACCATTAATGTTTGGGATTCTCGTATCTAAAAGTATGCTTTTCATCACCCGTCACACTTTCCCACAAGACGTCCATTCACTGCTGTTTGTCGGTGGGCAAGCAGTGACCGGCATGTGTGTTCAAGCGTTGGCCTACATTGTGTTCGGTCCGCAGATGCGTGGGGACCCAACTTCCAAGTTGTTGAATTTTTTTCTATTTGGTGGTGCAAGTGCTTGATGCAAACGCTGTTTGGACAACTCCTAACTGAGCTGCAAGGTTGAGTGTTCGTCTAACTGAGCTTGCAACTGCGCATCCTCAAAGTTCCGAGACTGATGTCCAGGCTCAGTTACTGGGATCGAAATTACCACTCCTAGAAAGCTTTTATCAACGAAAACACGTTTCATGGGACACGGTGTCAGCCCCAAGGACACTGTAAATTGATTTCCACTGTGCTTCAGAAGCCTTGTTTCCCTGTTGATGGAATCCGTATAGAATGCAGCGCCATCGAATGAGTTGTTAATCAGTTGCCATCGTGTACTCAGCTATTGTGAGAAGTTATGTAGCTCGCATAGACTAGTCTGTGATTCTTTCAAAACCACAAGAGACCCCGAGGGTATTTCAAATTTAGATTCAATTGAAAAAGTCTTCACAAATTATGCCACGTGTAGAATTGCGGATGAAAGCGAACTTAATGAAAAATCGCAGGCAAACTTACATGTCAAACTCTGTTGCCTAATGAAATCACTGTTTGTCTTAGATTTTCCCAAAATGCATTCACCACGTCAACCTATATCTATCACTGTAGGCAAATCCACAAATCTGTGGTTTCATCCTTACATTTTTCACTCGTCAATTTCATATTCAATCTCCACCAAAGACCTTTTACTAATCCGCCAGCACTCTGCAAATTCAAGTGAGGCCAGAAATTGTGCATGAGTTGAAAAATTCAGAGCTCACAAATTCACCCAATTGTGTGCTATTAGTAATAATGGGAAGCAGCCCAGCAAACCAGCCAATGACCTCCATGCTCGATGGGTGACGAAACGAGCAGAATGATTGGCTTGGTGTTAGAAGCCTTCAGTTGACAAATACACAAATTATTCCTCATTTTGTACTCTAACTAGAAAGATGCGGCAATTTTTACACTATTCCAATTATGGTGCAAACCAATACCCAATCAACATGCAGTAGTGTTGAGCACCTTTGTAAGTGGCCCACCCAATCAATGTGGTATCACGTGACCAGATTTTGACCTCGCATTCCTCACGAACCCACAGTCAGGTTTTTCATAAGTTTCGTTAGCCAGACACTTGACCTATTTGGACGGGAAGTCCACTGCTGGACATGTTAGCTTTTTTTACTGGCTATGTCTACCAATTTTTAGACACTATCCAAATCCCAAATCGTTCACTCTCGTCAAAGACAGCCCAGAAATGCAGCAAGTCGCGGCAAACACTAGGAATATGAGCAAGGTGAGCCAGTTAGCATGTGTGTGCGTGTGAAATGTTTGTGAGAAATCCTCCTGTCCTCGATCGAATTCGGTGGAGGTGTCACCTGATTGGTGCCCCGTGATGCGCCAAGTGATTTCTTCGTCGCAGTTAATGGCGTCGCTCACATGTCGAGTGTTTATCGTTCTATTCCTTAGCGGCATTGCAATTGAGGCGTGGATGCCACTTTTAGAATCCCTGGTACCTCTTGATCCACCGAGTTCTCCTTTTTCCAAATAGGTGGAAGGAAGGCTCACATTTCTTGTTCTGTTGCCTCAAGAAGTCATTTTAAACACCATAGAGTGTTTCATCGATGTGGCAGTGATTCATGCGTGTCCCGTAACCGTACACCTCAACGATTATTCCAGAGCAGCCGCTGCCCGGTGACTCAATAAGCCTAAATCAGCAGCCACGGCCACGTAACTCGATAATCTGCGTAATCAAAACCGGACCTAAGTCAGGAGTAAAACCGTCGATTTAACGTGCGAAAAGGAAGCTCTGAAATAAATAGGAGAGATGTTTACTGTGCAGTAAATATTGAACATTTAGGTTCAGTACCACAAAGAATACGAGAACTCCAAGGGACGCCTAATCTCCGTTCCTGAAGACGCGATGGCGCGCTGTCAGAAGACTATCGCACAGAATGTGAGCAGGGTAAGTTACATTCCAAAAATAAAATGTCGTCGATTTTGTTTTATCAAAGTCTGCTTGTACTTGCAATTTTGTCCTTCGCACTGACTACAGATCACCCATTGAAGAAATCTGCATCCTAACTCCTGATAAGCTGTGTTAGGTGTTATCGCGCACATCTCATTTCTGGCTCTACTAAAATTGCAAAATCATGTTTTGAATTCAATACCAGTACAAATGAAAACCTCACAGGAAATGTTGGACAGTGACTGCAACAGCAAAACTCTGGTATAACGAATTCTGGATAGCGGCTTTTGTTGTGTGACTTTGTACCTCTGCGATTCGATTGTTGGATGTACTTCCATCTTAGGTAAATTACAGCCAGCCGATTGGTCCGCCAACATGTCCAGTTCAGCCCAAATCGGCAACTCAGATGGACACCAATGGACAGATAGGTGAGTTGGCGATGAGTTGGGTTATTATACGCTTCCTTAAAACCGAATGATCGCCCTCGTGATAATACCAACTTAGTCGGAGGCTTCTCGTGTCAGTCAGTCCGGGGTTCGAACCTTGGCTGAGGCCACTTAGGCAGACGTGATGAGCATGCTCCACACAGTATACTTTAGAATTTCTGTCCAATCAAACAAGGAATTGGTCTGGCCGTTTTGTAATTGGCTCCTAACTACTCAAACTAATTTGCTTGCATAAAGTCGTTTTTTTTGTACAAAAGACGAAGATCGTGTTCAAAATAACAAAAAAAAGGGGAGGAAGATTGACAATAGAAAGGTTTTGAGGTGCTATAATGGTGTAGTGAGATTTTAGACACTACTGCATGAGTACAGCATGATTCTTGCTTTCAGCTGCTTATTAATCAGCAATATTATGAGCTCTAAATGCGTAATTTAGGTTGCCCAGATGCCAAACTAATGTGCTTGAAGCCGTTGCTTCGAAACCGTAGTTTAGTGGAGCTATTATATCGACATTTTACAGCCTTCCGTGTAGTCCCGCATGTATGCATGCCGTTTCGCTTAGTCCAGAAAGCAACAGTCAAAAACCAAGTGAAACAGTTGTCGGCTCAGACGCAGTTGAAGCCGAAACAGAATCTCCGATCTGGAGATGCGTTTGACCTTGTCATGATAAAAAGGCGGTAGTCAGATCTCTAATATGGATCCAAGTGTTATTCTACTCACAAATCTCCATATAACACCTCCTGTTAGTGTTCTTAAAAGCATTTTTAATCATGAAGCTCTCAACCACACCAAATTTGTGCACCACAAGCTGGTCTGACGCAAGATATTGTTTCCACTCTGTCTACAAACTTGAGATATCCCAATGCTAGGCTGAAAGCTAAAGTGGCCTGCTAACCAAGTATGACATCCACCAATGATGTTTTAGGTCAATTTTAATTGGTCAAATTGAACTTGTGCACTAAGTCACTTATCTGGTGGATTTCGTTCCGCCGCAGTTGCCACTTTGTATTTAAGCGGTCATCTTTTTAGTTAAATTTAATAACTTCCTTGCGATTCTGTTCAGTCAAAAGCCTTTTTTTGCTTTTTTCGAAGTTTCCAAGGAGAGAATTCTATGTCTGAGTCATGTTGAGCATCAGAGAGTGAAATGCACTGAACCAGAAAGCTGCCTGGTGATCAGACTAAGGTATCATGTTACAAAAGACGGTACACGCGTAATTCAATCACGCAAGTTGTCAGGCTGGTTAATTAAGCATGGAAAGAAAGGATGACGTTTAAATTCAATTAGAACCTGGCTTAAAACACAACGCAAGAATGTGGCGTCGCAGTGACTTGTAAATTGACACAGGTGTCAGTGTATTTACCCATTAAAGTCAAGCATAATGAATAAAAAGAAGTCGGCTATTGAGAGGCGATGCTTGCCAAATGACACTCTCGTCGCGGTAACATGAAACCATAAATAGGAATTCCGAGTAGCGTGAGACGTCACTTGTGACAGTGGCACACCACATTGACACCGCCTTGGGGACTAGGGTGTCAACATTTTATTGATTGAGCAGTAATGAGGCGGGTTAAGGTGAGTTGGAAGCAAGGACATGCGTGTCTCACGGGTTACAGTAAATTAGCGTCAGCGTACGAAAATCAATTATCGAATCGGTGAGTCATAAACTCTTAGCCAATGAGAATAGCGCTCGTGAGTAGTTTAAGCACTAAGCATCAGCTAACGTGCTTGGATTTTTATCACGACATAGGATGCTGTGGTGGTACTGTAAATATCTTTCTGCTGAACGCTGGCACCTACGGAGCACAATCGATATGCCGATTTTGAAAATTTGACACAAGCATATGAAAAAAAAGTGAGAAACTGGCTGACTTATTTATTGGCTACAAAAGTAGATATCAACAATTCCAGAAGTCTTGGAGAAGTGACGGAAAATAAACACAAATACCGGCGCAGGTCGCACGCTAGTCGACTTGTGATTGCGGGTATAAGAAGCTGATGAAGCACCAGCTGACCTCGAACTCGGATGAGTCATCTCATTGCGTGTGTGAGCATGTTGTACAAGACGCCAGGTTGAGGCCTATGGTTGTCGAGACAAGTCGGTTATGCCGACACATCGCCCTGACCAAATTCAAATGCCAGTTACACCACTGCTTAAGAACGCGGGTTTAAGAAGTAAACGGGGTTTTTGAATTACGAATCGCTTAATGCTTCCCAGCTTGGCGTGTAACCGCTTCTAATCGCCTGCTTCTGTTCTAGCTAACCCGGGTAATAGCGGTTCGTGGTACTCCGAGTCCGTCTCTTACCCTCAACAGACTTCGACGAGTTTTGGACCTTCTGGCGGCACCAACGGCACTGGTCGTCAGGAGTCTGAATATGCCGATCCACGATATCCAGGTGGCTGTTTTTCGCCTTGTCTGGACTTTGACACGGCCACTTATTGATTTTTATCTGCGTAGTCCGAAACTGATTGATAAAATCAATATCTAAGAATTTGACTAGTGAACCCACCTAGTACATATTAGATGCATGACTTAATTTGTACAACTTTTTCCGGCAAATTCAGTTAGCATTTAAAAATCAGATAAACGAATTTAGTGTTGAAGATATTGTCCATCGTTTTCTACAACCTTGAGTCAGCCTTTAATTGCCATACGAAGGCAACCGCGAAAGAAGTTTGCAGGCTACGTCAAGGCAATAAAGCCATCGAAGACGAATTTACGCACATCGTTCAGCGTTCTGAACGATGTAGCCAATCAGGCGTGGTGCAGCTGCATTGATCGGAACAAATGGAAGTCGGAAGAGGGGCCACGTCCAGTGAATATGCCGCGTGTGGCCGAACTTCCCATTCCAAGTTCAAGAGAGTCTTGTAAGTCGCAAGCGAGCGACGTGAGGCAGTCGAGTGTTGTCATACGGCAGCGGCAGTATAACTTAACTCAGAATTGCTAAACTATGGGCTGTAGGGCTTCGCAGTCACCGTCTGACCACCAGTTTGCTGGAGTTTGTAACAAAATGCACCCTTCAAGTCCCGCTAACCAGATGCACAGAAGAACCATCTTCAAGTGGATTTTCTGTTTCGGCGTCGATGAACTGGGTTTGGGATTCTCGCAACAAAAAGTATGCTTTTCATCACCCGTCACAATTTTCCACAAGACGTCCATTCACTGCTGTTTGTCGGTGAGCAAGCAGTGACCGGCATGTGTGTTCAAGCGTTGGCCTACATTGTGTTCGGTCCGCAGATGCATGGGGACCCAACTTCCAAGTTGTTGAATTTTTTTCTATTTGTTGGTGATTCGGAAGTGAGCTGCAAGCTCTTGCTGCGTCCGCATTGAGTGCTCATCCCGCTGGTTCTGCAACGGCGTATCCTCCACGTTTTGAGACTGATGTCCGGGCAGCTGCTGGTCACTGGGATCGAAGTCACCACTTCTAGAACGCTTGTACCAATAAAAACACGTTTCATGAGATACAACGTCGGCACCAAGCACACTGCAAATTGATTCCCCCTGTGCTTCAGAAGCATAATTTCCTCGTTGATGGAATTCGTACAAAATGCAGTATCATCGAATGTGCTGTTGATCAATTGCCATCGTACACTTTGCTCTTGTCATAAACCCAGCACATTCCACGACTCCTAATTAGTCGTTTGTCAATCAGTTTTGGACCAAGTTACAAAACGCAGGCTCGAAAATCGGCATTTTGTGGTTATCTAACAGACCGTCGTGCACGTAAATATGGAGCATAATCACTGGCACCAAATATAAACGATGAGATATAATCAATCTGAATCATCACACACACACACACACACTCGACTCTTCGTGTGCCAAAATCCACACCGCTTCAAGTGCAGCCTCACGTGTAAAAATTCTCCACATTGAATCTGAATTTGAGGCCTCTTCTAATTGGCTATCTGCTCTCAGTTTCAGGTTCACAGGGCGGCGTGGATGGCAGGGTTAACAACGAACAGTAAGTCTGTTTCCCGCTATTTTGATTGGTTAATCTTTACCTAAAATTGAGCTGCCACCACCACAGATAAAACGCACAGCTGTGATTGGTCCCATGTGTCGATAGGGTGAATGTACAAGTTGCAGGTCCACTAAATGCGGATCCTGAAGGTTTTCCATTTCCGATTCCTCACTTTCACACAATTTACTAAATCTTGTCGTTTAACCTCTAGGAAGGACAATTACGACATGCCCTTTTTCCGACCAGATCTTGTTGTGATTGGTGGAATGCGAGTCACGGGCAGTGGGATGGTACGTTTGTTTACTGTTGTTTTACATTGTTCGAAACATCGTCAGTTAAGTAGGTCGACTACCGGCTCCTAGAGTGTTGGCAGTTGAATAGGGACTTGGTTGAGCTAGGCGTAGGTTACAAGGTCACACAGTCAACGAGCCGACGTGGAATAGGACGATTTACTAACACGCATGCCTGGTCTCGACATTCAGCACTTCCGAGCAGCTTACGACTACGACGCAGCGGATTACGACGAAGTGAGTTTCATCGAGGGCGACGAGATACTTCACGGGGAGCCGATCGACGAGGGGTGGATGTTCGGCACCGTCAAACGCACCGGCAAGTTCGGCATGCTGCCCTCCAACTACGTCGTGCCAATCCAGGGCTCGAAATTCAGTAGTTGAGCGAGCGAAGCCGCGGCCTCGCTCGACGCCCGCTGTAGAGTTGTATACCAGCTGAAAGCACTAACTCATTTGCCGTTAAACAAGCACGCACGCACGCGCGCACACACACGCCTGCGTAAAGAATGCTTTAGCTTATGTTGTGCACACTGTCACAATCTCCTTACAGACGCTTTTATACTTGCCTTTTTTGGGAATAAAGCATGCAGTTGGATTGGTGGAAGTTCCTCGCCAGAAGTGGGAATATACCAATTACCCACAAATTACAGAAGACGCAGTGACTAATAGTATGTTGTGGGCCCCAGCATGTGGTCCTGAACCACACCGGGGCCACTGAATTATTCCTGATACCCACGATGAAAAAGACCGGAGAGGGCGTGAACACAACCGTTTACTTCGGAGCTCAATCAAAACTGGTGTCGTTGTGTCGAGGGTGGCGTTTGCGCATGTGTATTTATACCTCGGATGTGTGAGGCATACATGGGTTAACATTGAGACCTAGGTGTGAGGATAATCCAAGATAAGTATCCGTGTGAACGAGGGGGGAGTTGAGGATCCGCGTGGCTGGTGACATGCCGCGAAAAAGAGGACCCTGTGTCGGAGGCTGGAGTGATTGGATTGGCGAGTGTGAAGCGACGCGATTCACAACAAGTAATGCTAGTGTAACTGGTCTTTGCGCTACTTAGTCAAAATGATGGTCAGGTTCTGGCAAACCTGCGGAACATCTGCGAGAACGGACATTGAGTTCGGACAAAGCAACTAATTTCAGATATTCCCCAATCCGAGAACCGTTCGGGGTTGATTTTGTCAAAAGTCGAAGATGTGGCTTTCAAGAGAGATGCACCAACAACCTAGAGAATGTTGTGGCGATATAACCGAAGCCCAGGTCCGGAAATGATGATCCTGTACTTGCTGGGAGTGATTGCGTAGTGATGGCTTGGTTGCGGCGTTTGAATAAACCAACTATCCCTCAGCACATTCCGTGATAAACGATAAATGCAACCCCAGTGTAACGTTCGTCATGGTATTGCCTATCCAGATTTTCTTTTTTTAATCTGGACCTGTAGTTGATCAAAACTTCGACCGCGTTTACCCAAAGTCACTCTTATGTAAAAGTATGCGGCTGCTCACAAATCGGAATGACTTGGTGGCGTTAATCGATTGAGATCAGAGTAAAAGCATGTGATTGGTTAATTACACGACTGCGGGTTGAAGAATGCCCGAGCCCTAGCATGAAGGAGACTGGTACGACAGAGCGAGCTTTATCGACCAATCGCAGGCCAGAACCGTTCGTCCGGGTAGTCAATACTGGCCGAGCCGTTCATTTGTAGTGACGCACAAGGGCGCAGACATATTTGACCACGCTGAGCGCAGCCAACCCTCCGTCTTCGTGCATTTGAATGACCTGTGAATAAGATCTATGGCCGACTAGACACAAGGACGGATGAAAAAGCAGTAAATAATGGGCATCTCGGCCAGCGTGGTGGGTTCAGACGAGCGGTCTGGCTTGTGATTGGTCAAAAAACCTTTGGCTGGCTGAGCCCGATGTGACTCAACATGTCTGCGCCCTTGTACACCACTGCAGGATGCAATCTGATCTGACAGACGCAGAATAATGCAAGTACCAAAGCTCTGATTTGGTTAAAATACCATGACAATAAGGCACATCTTCAAATACAACCTCGTTTAAAATAAGGCTTGAAAATCACGGGAGGGGGATTACATTCTGGCGGGTACACGGCCACCTTACTTAAATAAAGCCACTTAACTCCGGAAAATATTAAGCTTATTGATTAAATTGCGACAGTGCTGCAATAGCCAATGACGTGAGAGAAGAGGCAACGCATACACAGAGTTCTTAGCCGAAGCTTGTTACCAAAACACAAATACTACTATTTTTAAAATACGTAGCAAAATAGATTTAAAGGTGGAGCAGTACAAAAGTGTGGAGTCTCTTCGGTAATAGGCTTGAAATGCATGACTGGGAACCTAAAAAACAAACAGAATTACAAAAGATGAGCGGGCCCACCCAAATGAAAGCAGTCTAGACAGCAATCTACAGAATACCACCTACTTAAAAAATTTCAGTAGGCGTTTAAAGGCAGTCTCAATTGTGGTGGTCTGTGACGCTTCCGATGAGTTGGTCCACGGTCTGTGGACCAAGAAGAGCCTTTGCCACTTCCACGGAGTCAAGACGAGTTGTCTGCAGGCGATAGAGACCATCCTCCGGCGAGAGGACGTAGTTAAAACGATAGTGGCCGGACGGATGCTGGCAATTGTGCTTGGAGATTAAATGGCGCGAAAGCAGGAAGCCTAAAGAAGTGGCAAAACGTAGCAACGCGCCACCTTGCACGCGGGGGACAGCCTACCAGCCAAAGCACCCACCTTTGTGCGTCCGCATAGGGCAGAGGTGGCAGGCGTAGCTGCCCTCCAGCCTTCCAGACGCATGTTTTCGACCCATGTGCACGCAGAGACCGGGTCTGGTGATGGAGTAGAACTTGCAGTCAGTCTCAGGGCAGCGGAACACCTCCGTTGAGATGGAACGCGAACGAAGGTGGCGGTAATTCGAGGAGGCGGCGGCGGTGGTGGACAAGCCGGGGCTGCCTGCAACCGCCAGCGGACCAATCGGAGCCGTTGTGGATCGATGAGGCTGGACACCTAAGCACCCGAGGCGTCAGACATTGGGGCCTTACCTGACGAGTTATGACGTCGAGATGTGTGAGAGCGCAGCAAGTACGTGTCCTTGAACTTGGCAGGGCAATGGGGGCACTGCACAGTGGCTTTAGTCGTGTGTCGGTACAGGATGTGTCGCCTGATAGCTAAAAATGACGCAAAAAAACACAGGTAACCGCCATTTGGGCTCGGTGGAGGCAACCACGGGCCTAGTACTCACCGCTTTTGCTGTGAAGTGTAAGGTTGCATTGTGGACATTTGTGCTTGTTGATGTGGCGGTTAGCGTGAGCTTGGAGCAGTGATTTATTGCCAAACACACGGTGGCAGTAGGAACACTGGAATTGGACGGCAGATGATTCAACCTAGGTAGAGTAGTAATGAGGCTCAATGTTTTAATACAACTACTAATTAATAGTAAGTAGCAAGAAAAGTACCGGCTGCTGGCGAACCAGGTGATCACGGAGTTTCATTTTGGCGGTGAATAGAAAGCCGCATTGGGGGCAGGCGAGAGCCTTTTCCTGCGTATGCGATCGCAAGTGTGTAACGAGGTTGCGTAGTCGCTCACACGCGTACTTACAGCCTTCCCACTGACAGTTTTTGGGTCCTTCGACGTCTTCGTATACCTAAGTTAATGAAAGCCAGATGAAACTCACGCTAACTTCAGTCAATCTGTTTTTCTTTGGTTATTTCAGGAACCCCATCTCAAATATTCGTTGGTGATTAGTTGTAGGTTTAGGAAGAACATTGAAGTTTGAGAAGGTGAAGAATAAGATCCCGAAGACAATTGTTCACAAAAGATTACACAGTTCCCATCTAACAGATTCCGCGCGTTTTTGTCCAGTTAGTTTGTTCCCACAGTTCAAATCCTTTCCTAATGGTTGTCTTGAACTTGCGCCAAATTATAAACAACTGTTCAATACGGAGAACCGGCGCTTTGAAAGGGCCTTGTGAATTGGCGTTAGCTCTGCTCTAAAAATTCTATGTAATTAGTGGAATTAATGGATTTCAGATCCATTATCAAAACAGACGCTGAATTCGTTTTCTATTGCCTACGAATTAGGGACAGATTGCATTTCATGAATCGAATAATAGCAAACACAGACTGGAATTATAATTGTCGGCCAAGCAGTGAGAAGGAAACCACAAATACATATGAGATCGAACAGGTTATTGACAGGTGATTCCGATCGGAGTCTGATATGGGCCATTTTAAATAGCGATAAACAATCCAAAAGTCTACACATCGTTTACCTCGAACCTAACAAAAAACAAGCAAATAAAGACCGCTTAAGAAAAGAAAATTGTTCAAATCGACAAAGGAAAACCAAATGACTTAACCCGTGGATGTTGAGAGACATGATTGTAGAGGTCGGCAACATCGTTTGTCTGGAAACGACACTTGCGCCAAGCGCAGCAAAACGGAGTAGGGAAGTCTGGAATAGAGCTGAAGGCTTCTGGAAGTTGGCAGATTGGCCAGCCTTCGTTCTCCTGGTAAAATGTTCCCCTGGCGTACAGAAAAACTAACCAAGCGTGGAAGTAGACATGGCGGTGGGCACTTTCGTCACGATTTAGGGTCGAACCGCAAATTCCGCAATTAATATCTCGAGCAGTTGAAGTCCACGCTTCCTATGGAAAAGTCATCTAATTCAACAGCTGATTTAAAAGACTGCTATCGTGTACATAAAAATTCGTTCTGACATGTAAGGACGATGTCTAGTTAGGTATTGCAAATTGCTGTGGATTTATTTGGAGAAATGGCTTTGACAGAGCTAACTTACATGCAGATGCCCTATCTCATGCTGACAAAAATCAAAATAATTTTTGTACGCGATACTGCAGTCAGCCCATTGACAATTTAGAGAAAATCGATCCCTTTCACACATTCGGGAATGAAAACTCCGGCTGAAATGCGCAACTTGATATGCGCGCCTTTTTTCTGTGTGCTGCCTAAATCTGTGAGTCGTGCTGGTAGTTAAATACATTGATGTTTATTTCTGTTATATTAAAAATTAATTAATTTTTTAGTGCTGGACAATGCACTGTTTCTATGAGATAGTGTCAACAATGTGGCTAGGTGCTCGCACAATATTCCCTGATTGATCTGCTCAGAGCGGTTATTTTAAAGGTCTGTTGGGTCGATCGCCTCTGCGTTATCTGTTTATTTGACGACAAGAATGTACCAACCAACTGACCCCCGTCTTCCATCTTCACTTCACAAAGTTGAATCAAAGTCTCGTTTGACATTAAATTTTAATCCAGCAAATCTGCCTGTTCTCCCGAATCTGGTTCCTCCCCTAGTTCCCGTAACTACAGTGCCATCGAACAACCCCCCTTATGTCGGTGAAGAAAATAGAACAACAATCGAAGCGCCACCTGTCGTTGTACCTCCATGTCCAATTCACGTTTCAGCCCAAGTCCCCATCTCTTCTGGAGTAAGTTTTTAATTACGTCTTTGCGTCGGTTAGAAGTTCTTCAACTTTTATTTATAACTTAGTTGTTTTTAGCGCCCAACATGTAGTTTGCGATCACGATATGTTTTGCCGCCCCAGTTTTCTCAAAAAACCGAGTCTCCACCTGTATCTTCGGGAGACGAAAATACAGCCCCTCAAACGACATTCCCCAATCCACCACCCGCACAGTCAGAAGAGCCTTTCTCAACTATGACAATACTTCCGACTCCGTCATATTTTGACGTATCTGCAACATCACCTGAAGAACCAGCTTCAGGGCAGGCAATCAAGGGTGAGGCTGCTTGTCGTTAGGAAAAGTAACAATTCTTCCTAGTTCGCATTTGTACTTCTAGTATTGTCAGCTTGGTATTTAGGGGTCCTCTGCAAATATTCTAGTCTTCCGTGTAATGACTCCAGTTAGTTTTGACATGAAGTGTGTACTGTGGTGTTTGCTTTTGTTCTACCCTCGAAAGAAGCTCCCCAGCCAGTTTCAGCCCACTGGTTTTACTCAACTCGAACTGCGACTCACGGTGTGGTCTGGTGGCCATTCGACCGCGTCGACTCGAATCGTCTCGAGGCCGCGGCCACCACAACCAACCTTTTGTCAGTTGAGGGAACCACAGCCGACTCGTCGAACCCGACTGTTGCTGTGCGCGGTGGGCGCTACGACGTGTTCCTCCGCGAACGCGTCTGCAAGCCCATCTACTGGACGACGGACGATGAGGAGGCCGGGGAGGTGCGACGCGTAACCTGGTTTTATAGGTACACAATCGAAGTTTTATTGAAATACCAAGTATTTAGTGTCCTAGTGTGTTAGGTTTTGATTTTTTCCTACCTTCCTGTCACTGCTTTGCTACAATTCCATGCTCTGGAAATGCAGGTCTTACACACCTTTTATGCGAAATATATTGATTCTTACACATTCTCCTGCCATTTGACTAGCGTAAATGGTCAGAGTAAAGTATGTATCAACTCATTTTGTGGATTGAAATTTGCTTGCCCTATGTTAGGTGCTTCATTTTTACTGAAGACTGAGGAAATCCACTCAACGTTAGGACCATCATAGCCTCACTTCTGCTTTATCCATCTTAAGTTAACAGTTAATGGACGAGTAATCTCGGAGTTTGTCTAATTTTCATGTTCCTGAAACGCGGCTAGCCAAACCAATTACGCAGCCTCAAAAAGCACTAGGTAAACACGAAATTGTACTTTAACTCCACGTTCTGAATAGTGTTACCGTGACCTCCGATTCCGTAAACAGCCGTGTTTTTTTCTGGTACCCAAATTTCGGATTAAAACTGGGTCGGCGTGATGGCAAATATCTCGCAAAAGTCTATGTGACCTTTCGCTTCAAAACTCCCCATAGGCACGGGTATTTACTGTTTTTTACCGGTCCTTACTACAGCCCAATCGACCTCTGACACTAAATTCTTCTCCCGTCTAAACACAGTTACATTCATCCATTGGTTGCTAGCCAATTTGCCCCGTTGTTCTGCTGATGTGAGCGACCGCTTCGCTGGATTATTGTCTGCTTCAAACTTGGTTTGAGGTGTAGAGCGCGTCACCGCGGATTAAATGGTGCTCTTTTCACACGTAAAGACACGCATCACTGCCTCGATTCTGTGTGAATTTGTGTCGTTTTTGCCTACAACACCTCTAACTTGTGTGCGTGCGTGCTCGCGCGCGCGCACATGTGTGTGTGTAATTTGGGAGGTTTGTTTTCTAGCAAATTTCACCCTGAGTACGCTCCTTCCTCACTACCTAACGGCAACTGCAATCTGCCGCTGAGGATGTCTTTTTTATGTAATCCACTCGTTTCCAGCTTACACCCTACGTCCGGCTTGAATCCTGACCACAGAACGGTTGAAATGCCAGTCAACACCAGCCCACGCTCTCATATCTGTTTGTTGCTGTACCGCTTCACAGGTCATGTGCCCTACTTGCTGCTTCCCACTCTTGTCAATAGCCTAGTCTGCTGTGTTCCTACCCAAGTAGAACTGCATTTTGTATTATCAAGACTCGCTTATAATTGTGTGGGCTGTACTGTTGGTGCGTTTAGGCCGCAGGATGAGCAGCGCGTGTTGCCGTTTTCGGAGAAGATGAGCACCACGTTGGAGGAGTACTACCGTCGGACGGTTGAGTCGGATTCTTGGGGTGAGAAGCTCCTGCTGCCCGTCGACGACAACCCCGACGACATGGCCACCTACATCTTCCACAATGACCGGGTAGGTTTTCTGCGCATCACCGCTCTGCCTACACAGACACCGCACCGTCTGGAAGGGTAGAAATTCCACGCTTTTTTCGTCGCATTTTAGGCGATGGTGCAGTACAGGAACGGTTGTTTCTCGAGCGACTCTGCGTTGAACCTCGGCGGCACCGACGGTCCCAGCAGCTTCGCCTTGTGCTCCTACCTGTACCGCGGACTGCGCGACGATCTCGAGTCGCAAATCCCCGACGGCGATCCACGCCCCATCGAGCACGTCGTCTTCGTGGTCCACGGAATCGGCTCCATCTACAACATGCGTGGAGAGGGTCTCATTGAATGCGTCAACGATATGCGGTGAGGCGTGCTGTTGTGCTTGGTGTTCTGCCTCTTCGATCTAATTGAAGTCCGTTGAAACTTGTCTACTTTGGAAAACTGACTTTATCGCAGAGGCCGAAATGTGTTCGTGTGGACGCAGTACAATGTCTAGTCTTGTAGACATAAATTTCGGGGCGAATCGAGCGAAATTCTGGTTCTTTATACACACGGTCTGGTGTCCAAAAATGATTCTTTTCGATTTGCGATTGCAAAACTCAAATTCCCGCGAAACAGAATCAACCAATAGCGTGCCGACCTCGGTTTAACCTTGGTAAACCTGATTGGTGGAGGTTGCCGGATCTTGTTGGTTCGGTCAAACACTCATGCTCTCCGTGTCCTCCTTATTTCACGCGCCTTATTTTGTTTCGATTCAACATTCTTTTAATGTGTTTTAAGTAAATTTAAATTCAAATCTGTATTATGAGCCAATCAAAGCGATAAACATGGCCTTTTTGTAGCCGCCCAACAGTGTAAGAGATTGTTAACGTACCACGCACGGATACAAAACAATTAGAGGTCACTCAAGATGTGGTGGTGGTTCGTTGAATCGCCTGCCTTAACATCACTTGAAAAACATCATGACGAACCAGTACAAACCACATCGAGAGCTAAACTGCACGGACAATGAGTTGGTTCATTTACAGAAGCGTACTACCAATCCGGTGGGTGTCTTCAGCGACCAATGAAAAATGGATTTGGGAGCGGTGAAAATGAAGTTGTCCGAGTTGGCCAATCGGGGAGGTGCGTGGCAGCGCCAGCATCACACATGGCTGATATCTCCTAGGAACCGATGGGAGCGTAGTTGGGAAGCCCTGTTTCACATCTCCCACATGTCATTGATTCGAATTTTGGGGGTTTTGATGATCCAATCACTTTCCATTTAAGTAGTATATGCTTTTGTTGGCAGAAAAACTGCGACGTCTCTCCTGGCCTCGCACTTTGCCGATGCGAAGAAGGGGCGTGTGGAGTTTCTTCCTGTTCGTTGGCACTCGTCGCTCCACTCGGAGACGACAGGGATCAATAACCAGCTCAAGCGGGTCACGCTGCGCAGCATTCCGAAACTGCGCAATTACACCAACGGCACCCTCACTGACATCCTCTTCTACACCAGTCCGAAGTACTGCCAGCACATAATCGATACCGTGGCCTCCACGATCAAGCACTTGAGACAGCTGTTCCTCCGTCGAAATCCCGACTTTACCGTACGTGCCTACTCACACAATTAAGTAGGGGTTATTTTATAGAATTCGTACTGAATAGCGAATTGACTTGTTTTGCCGCAGGGCGACTTTTCAGTGGCTGGCCACAGTCTCGGTTCGGTGATTGTGTTCGATCTGCTCGCCCACCAACGCCGCACCCCGTCAAGCACGCCCTCGCTCTCGTCTTTCTCCGCCGGCCCAGAAGACGACGATGATTGGTCGCTCGTGGACGGCACAAGTCCCTACCCCCTGGCCACCTCAGAACTCGCCTCTCAACTCACTTTGGCGGCCAACCTCTCAGAGGACCAGCTGCGGCGTGTGATGAATGTGGTCTCGGGTGCGGTGGGAGTGAGTCGCTCGACAGGCGTGGGGCTGCCGATGGTCAACTATCCGCAACTGGGCTTCCCACTGAACACCTGCTTCCTGCTGGGTTCGCCGCTATCGATTTTCCTGACTGCCCGGGGCACCGATCGCCTGCCGCATGACTTCCGACTGCCCTCGTGCAGTGCCTGCGTCAACGTCTTCCACCCCTTTGACCCCGTCGCCTACAGACTCGAGACGATGATTGTTCCCGACTTCAAGGTGAGTTGGGGTTCGCGTTAACTCCGGAATTTGCACGAAAACAGATCGATAAATTGATGGTTACAATTTCTGGTCAGGTCTAAGCCCTGTTGTGGGCCACTTATGTTAACCCTGGCCCCTATTACGCTTCCCTGATACCCGCGATGAAGAAGACGATCGGAGAGGACGTGGACACAAGCGTTTACTTCAGAGCTCTCAACCACGATGGTGTCGTTGTGTCGTGTGTGGGGTTTCCGCGTGTGTATTTATACTTCAGTTGTGTGAGCCATACATGCACTAACATCGACGCCTAGGTTTGAGGTTAATCCAAGATCAATATTCGTGCGAATGAGGAGGGAGTTGTGGATCCGCGCGGCTGGCGACATCCTGTAAAAAGGGCTGACGAGTGTGTAT